AGAGAGAGAGAGAGAGAGAGAGAGAGAGAGAGAGAGAGAGAGAGAGAGAGAGAGAGAGAGAGAGAGAGAGAGAGTTATCTGAGATCCGAACGTGGGGACACCGGGCCATTACCCTGCTCTCAGTGCTCTGGTATTTCGGGCAAAGACCTGCTTTTGGACATTGTATTGAGACTGGGACTTCGGGGACATTCGAGATTGGCGACATTGGCGACTTGGTCTTTTGTCCCTCTCTTTCCCCTTGGTCTCCCTCTCCCTCCTGCTTCGACGAAGGATGATCAGGGGACAGCGCCCCTTCCTTGTATGCTGCGCTGCCCCCTTCTCACCGTGTGATGCTGTATGAGTGTGCATTGTCCAGTCTGATATTGCTGTGTCAGATGTATGTTCAGTCATCCGCTGCATTTATATAGTCTCTTGCTTTCAGTCGACTCCTTGGATCTGCGCTATAATTGTCATGTTTGGATGTGCATGCGACAATTAGCCATAGCTCCCAGGTGCACAGCAGGTGGGAACGACAGAGCTGGAAGCCATCCTGATTCAGTAGCTGGGGTCGTGGGCTGAAGATAAGTATGAGAAAACAAGTGGCCCTGCGGCAATTTTGGGTGTGACTCAACAAGAGCGCCCCCCCCCCCCCCCCAAAAAAAAAAAAGATAGCCAGCTTGCCCCCTCTGGTTGGTCTTGGTAGGGGTAAACCTTCCCCCCTCCCGCCCAGCACCAGGGGTTAGGAGCCTGGGTGCTACTCCCCGCACAGAGTAGGGCAAAGGATCGGTGAGGCGGAGCTTAGGGCAACCCATAACCCTTAGGGCATTCTAGTTTAAGTGCATTGATAAGCTGAGTCCTCTTGCTCAGATATAAGGGTGGATGATAAGAGGTATGTAGGTAGCTAATGTGAGGTGATGAGAGAAGAACATAGCTTAGTTATTAAAAAAAAAAAAAAAAAAAAAACACCCTGAAGGACTGGCAAATTGACTGACCTGCAATTGCAGCTGATCACTTTCCAGCTGCTCAATAACCTGGTCATCAATCGTGACATGCTTCATCCCCGTGTCGCCATATGGAACAAACGTTATATAGAGGCCAACCCATGTCTCATCAATCTTCTTGAGTCCTCTCTCTATTGTAAGCTCTTTCTGGGCACGATCGACAATCTCATTCACCACATCCACTGAGCCATGAGCATGTCAATATGCCATCAACAAAAGCAAAGGCTTTCCAAAGTACAGACTAGGATTCTTTAAATCATCTCTTTCCTGTAAGCATTTCCTTGGCTTCTGTACGCATTTCATTTCTGAAAACTTCAGTACCTGTCCATTCGAAATTCTTCTCATAGATATGTGATGGCCTCTTCTACTTTTTTCTTTTTTTCTTTTCTTTTTTTCTTTGAATGAACAATGAACTGCAGGGAGAGTGGCAAGATGAGGACGAGGGAGTAGATTCAGAACCGGCCTTTGTCCCCGGACAGGGAACCAGTGGAAGTGTGGGGGAATATAAGCTAGATGATTCTGTCACCACTGCGCAACAGGACCCGCCGGGTGATGCGTCGACCCAGATGGATGCGAGCAATCAGGCCCCCTCCTAGGCTGTCTACCACTATGATTGTACCCCTACCTCTTTCCCGTAGCCTCAATGATGGAGACTTTTAGAAAGGGGGCAAATGTGAAGGAAGACCGGGTGGACTGGAAGACACAAGGGTGAACCACACTGTACTTTGCATGCATCCGGGGACAAGAGCCTTTGCATTGGTTAAAAAGAATCATGCCCACCACACTGCTCTCTCCTTCATTGACTACTTCCTGATCTCAGGGATACTAATGGGGACAACTAAAAGTGTTGAGATCCTGCCCCTCACACCGTACCTGGGTCTGGACCACAAACCCGTCGAACTCATAATCAACTTCGAATGGTATGTCAAAAAGGGGTCTAGCTTTCACAACCTCAACAACTCCCTCTTACTGAGCCAGGCTTTTTAGGTAGGAGTTCAGAAGTGTTGGCAGAATTTGAGGGGTGCCTACGTAACCATTCAAAATCGGTGGGAGTGGTTTCAAGAAAGCTACTCCACATTACGGTTGCTGGAATCTCAAGGAAATTGGCGACCGACAGGAAACAGAGGAAGCAAGCGTTGACCCAGAAGATCGCGGGGACAAAGCTGATTGATAACCCCTCTTCTGCACTTTACACAGATATCTTCGAAAAGGCAAGAGAAGAATTGACTACGTGGAGATGGTGGAAACTAGAGGGACTACAAATAAGAGCCAAAATGAACAAATACGAGCTAAGTGAGTAAATGTCAAAACACTTCTTCGCAAAAATCAAAGCAAACTCAAGGGCCAACGCGATAGAAAGCCTGAAAACCCTTTCAAATGCAATTGAAATAGTGACAGATAGTGAAGGAATGTTGAACGTAGCAAACGAATTCTACGAAGAGCTCTATCACACTCAGACCCCTTTGCCTACTCTGCCCTGCACCAGAGAGGCACGAACGAGGATGCTACAATACATGGAACAAACGATATCTCTGGAACAAGCAAAAGCTCTGGACAAGCCCATCACCATGGAAGAACTGCAATTTGCTGTCCAAAGTATGAATAATAATTATTCGCCAGGAATTGACGGGCTGACTCAAGAATTCTGGGAAACGTTATGGCCGCTCTTAGGGGGCGACAGCTGGATCAAGGGGGGACTGTGAAAATTACAGAGTAGCAGCGTGGTCACCTTGTTATACAAAAAAGGGGAGAAAGAAGATATCAGGAACTATAGATCCATCTCGCTTCCAACAGTTCCCTATAAGATCCTAGCCAAAACTCTAGACCTTATAGACAAATGCTTTCACATAGACCAAACAGGCTTCATCCTTGGGAGATACATCCTGGACAATGTACCGACCCTCAACGAAGCGACCAACGAAGTCAAAGAAAAAAGGATAAACACAACAATTCTTTTTTTCCGATTTTGAAAAGGCCTACAACTAGGTCAAGTGGGCCTTTCTCAATGCAAAAAAAGGTGGGAGTGAGGCCGAATTTTAGGAAGTGAGTGCGCATTCAGTACAATGATGCCATAGGGTGTGTCCAAGTCAATGGCTTGCTCTCAAACTGTTATCCAATCTCTCGGTCCGTTCACCAAGGGGACCCGCTAACCCCCCCAATCTTCCTCTTCGCGATGGAAGCAATAGACGCAAAGATCCGTCCATTCACAGTCCAACAGAGGTCAATGAAGGAACAACCCACCACCTACAGTTCCCGACAGTAATAATGTTTGCAGACCATCTCATTGTCCTCATAAGTGCTTCAGACTTGTCGTTCAACGCTTTAGTAAGAGCAATGGAAGCCTTCAGACAAACATCAGAAATGAAGATTAATTGGAAGAAAACATTCGGCTGGTGGCTATCAGAGGAGGAGGTTCCCCAACTTCAAGAGACCGAGGCAGACATGCCATGGGAGACACTGGAGACCCCTACGCGATATTTAGGCATTTTGCTGACAAAAGACGGATTTGCCCCTCAAATGTCCCAAAACATACCCACTAAACAAATTAACAAACTGAGCAGTTGGGGTAGCACATTCACATCATTGTTGGGCTGAGCACTAGTCATCAACACATCTATTTCTTCAATGATGTGGTATATAACGTCAATCTGGACAGTTCCGGACCATACAATCAAGGAACTTAACTGCAAAGCAAGAGCGTATTTGTGGTCGGGTGACCCCCGCAAAGAGAACTGTATACCAAAGATAGCCTGACATTACATCACAAGGAAACCGGCCAGAGGAGGTCTTAGTGTCATAGACCCCAAACAGGAAAGCAAAGCCCTACAAGTTAAATGGATAGTCAAACTACTACTAAACCTGGTACGACATGGAATAAACTGGCATTGGATAGCATCAGGGGCCTAACACCTACAGCCACACCAGCAAATATGTCCGGTCTGTTCTGGGTAACGACCAAGGAATGGAGCCCAAGTACAGGACGCAGAAATCAACGAAGAGGAATCGGTCCAAACGAAGCCAGGCCCCCCACACCATATTGGACTGCATTGCTACGGATATGGAGGGAAGTCATGCTGAAGAAGGTAGATAGACCCAAATCGAAAGACGAGGTACTAAGGCAACCCCTATTTGGTGACCCGTGGGTTAGGGACAAAAGTGATCACCAACTATCCCTTAAGCCTAGAGGAAGGAGATGGATATCATGGATCAAACATGGAGTTTGGAAAGTGAGCCATCTGTGGGACAAGGAGAAAACATGCTGGGTGACAGAACAGGAACTTGCCTCCCAGCTCAAAAGGATGTCACTGCATCCTGGAAGGAGTTGTTGAGCAGAGCCTCAACCTGGCAATCGGGTGAATGGGGAGTGAGGGTGCAAGATCTAACCCCCTCATGGGTCTATCAATTTTCCCATAACCAGCAAGGGTTGGACACCCTGGTAGTGTTTACCTCTTTCCCGATTACCCCCTCCATGCAAGGCCTCCCATCTATCCTGAATAAGAAGGTGGAAAGATCAGTCCTAAACCTTTTTATACTCAGAAAAGTAAGAGGAGTGTTGGGATCATAGCCAAAACAATCTTCAGGATAGATACAGCGATTCACGACTTGGAATTTGATCCAGCACAGTGGGCTTGGACACCTGACAGAAGCAGAAGTCTCAAAACGAAGGTCCCCATCCAGGAATACACAGTCAAACTGGGATACTGGGATACAACTTACTCCTCAAAACGAAGGACCCTGACCCAACGATTAAGAACAGATGGCAGAAGTTAATAGGTCAGGACGCTAGTCAGATCCCACAAATACCATGGAAAAATTTCATGTCAATCCGACCGGTCAAAATCAGAAGCCTCCACTGGCTCATCTCATACGTGGCTCTACCGGTTAACCCGTGGCTACATATTAGAAGAAGAAAGAACGACACTAACAGTTCAGATTTATGCGCGATATGTTCAGAAAACGAACCAGAAGATATGCTACATTGTCTGATATGCTGTATTGGGGCGAGGGAATATTGGGTGAGGTCCTCGGATCTTAGGGATTCCCTCTTCTCGACTCCCCTCCCTGAACACCCCATCCAACTCCTTTTACGGACTAACATCCAAACTCGATTCCACAAGACAGAGAAAGCGTGGTTCGGAATTATCAGAAGGGTAACATTGTGGTCCACCTGGAAGGAAAGGTGCTGCAGAACCATTGAGGGACTCTCAACTCCAAGGGAGAAGGTATGGGCGGAGACAAGGACCTTGATTCAGGCAGAGATTCTTTGCAAGTGGCATAAGACGAGATACATGCCAGATGATGAAGTGCAACAGAGAAGAATCGAGGCAAAATTCACTAAGGTGTGGCTTGCTGGGGGCAGCGTAGCAGAGATAAACAACTTTCGCATACGGTGGAAAGTTTGGCACAACTGAGCAGCAGGGTGGAGAAGGCAGAGATCCCAGCCAGCAGATGGACAAGATCCATCAGAGGCCATGCAATATTGAAAGGCGAATTCCAAGATTTTGCATCTTCCGTAGCTTCTTTTACCTTTCTTGCTCTTTATCATTTATCTGACAGGTTCATATGGTGGACCTGAGAGGAAAGGTGGAAGTAAGGGAAGCTGACAGTCAATCCTCCATGATGCTGGAGTAATCAATGCTGGTCAGGGTTCCTCCGGCCAGACGGAAGGAAGCTTGAGTGTGTTTTATGATGTAATATTTTATAATTTTTATTTGAACTTGCTGGTGGAATAGGAACCGGACTGATGCTCCCCAGAATGGAAATGGAGCCAGTGCCATAAGGACCTGTTTTTTTTTTTTTTTTTTTTTTTTTTTTTTAACAGTGAATTTCAATGAACTGCACACAACATATGAGGCGTTACATCTCACAGCATACATGAAGTGTCCTTGGCATGAGAACATAAGCTCACATTCTACCGTTCTCGCCTCACAGTGTACATGAAGTGTCAACATAAGCTCACATTCTACCGTTCCTGCCTCACTGCTCAGGTAGGTATTGCCATTATCCTGCTACAACCTTCTGAAGGACAGACAGGTAGGTCCCCCCTTGCCTGCCTGGCTACAGCACTATGCCAGTCTAACAATTGTATTAAAGACTTGCCTACAGGCAGCATGGTATCTCTAGGATAGGACCAGAATTCCTCTGAAGATCAGCCTCTTTCTCCGGGCCAAAGCAAGAAAAACAAAATGTCTTCATGTCCTTTGAAAAGAGCATGTGCACATGGTGTTGCATCTCACGGACAATGCACAATGCGGAGGTGATTTGTACTGATTATTGATGTGATACCATACCCCTTCTGCCAAGTCCACTCAGGCTATGCCAGAGAGTGGCCCATCGATCATTAAATACGAATCAATGTCCTAGCAAAGTATTAAGACGCCTCACGAACCATTACCAATCCGTCTACTTTGGGACCATGTACAGAGTCAGTGAGGTCCAAGCTGATCGGGTAGGTGTCATGAGAAGGTCCTGGAATCCTCCGCGCATTCCAAGTCCAAAATCATGAAATCCTCATACCACAAATTTGAATTTTCAATCCAAAAGTTATGCTGACTTAAACCAAATGCTGCAGAATAAAAGTTCATAAAAAAATACGGCTCCAGATTCCGCTGATGGTGCAACGGTGTACATCTTCAGAGGAGCAATGCTTGATCTGGAACGAGCCATCCCTGAGAGGTAAAGGATTGAACGTCAATGGTGCAATGTTAATCGTACCATACTCCGCTCTTGGGTCTTGTAGAGTAAATAGACCATGAAAATGATGTACCTGCAAAACACAATCAATTACGAATGACATAGTACGGTAGCCTCCTCACAGGAGATTTTATGATGACCATGTTGGGGTACGATTCCCTGGCTGCTTGAGTTGCACGTACCAAAATGTTAAAAAATCATTTGCACATGGCGTTACAGCTCATGGACAACGAACAATCCATACGCAATCACTGATGCAGATGCGATCACTGATGTGATGCTAAAAGAGGAATATGAGGATAAAGGGAGCACAGAGGACGGTGAGGACAACTGACCATGCTCATGAAGCTTCAAATTGAGCAAATCACCAAGACTGAAGTTCTCGTCCATGGTGAAAACCACCCCTGTTCCTCGCATCAATTGCTTCCAATGTCGGTCCCTCATTGATGGGTGATGGAGATCAGCCACAAGAGGGAGTGATGTTAACAATGCCCTGACCTCATCTTCCAGAAGCTTGTACATATCCCATGCACGGACTTGCTTGTTCAGATTCTGTCAAACCAATACCATTCAGAATACCAGTAATGGTGGATGATTGAGTCAGACTGCAGGCTTAAGTTTACAGGATGCCAGCTTAACCCATCTGAAAAAGGATAAATTCCCAAAAGCATGGTTGCCCCGGACGCGGACACCCGGACAACCGGACACAGACACCGGACCCGTGTCCGGATTAAACCGGACGTCCGGTTAACCGGACATCTAACCGGACATCCGAACCCGGACAGTTCGGTTTGGTGTATCAGGTGTCCGGTTGTCCTGAAAAAAAAAAAAAAAAAAAAAAAAAAAAAAAAAAAAAAAAAAAAAAAAAA